AAATGTGGGTGTAGGTTTTTAATTTGTTATTCTATAAATATGTGATCTTGTGCATATTGTTGTATAGGTTGTATTCTTCAATAAACAATATGGATTGGTGCCAATGTGTAGGGCTATGCCATGATCAATACCAGGCATAATGGAGAACTCCTTGGGCTTTAATGAATGGGTGGAAGTCTCACTCCCAGCTTTGCCTCTCACCTTCTTCTCAGAATCCTGGTTTCTGTCCTGTGACCTCCTAATTGGATCCTGTCTCTTCCTAAACCCTTAAACAAGAATTATGATCATAGATAGATCTGTCTACTTTTTAATCTTAGGTCTTTTTCTTTTCCTTTTATATAATCTTAAGAACTCTTGTTATTTCATTTTGGTTTGGTTTGGTTTGTACTGGGGATTGAGCACAGAGTCTTTGCACTGATCTATATCCCCAGACCTCTTAAAAATTTTATTTATGTTTTGAGACAGGGTCTCACTAAATCACTAGGTTGCCCAGGCTGGGCTCAACTTTGAAATAAAAGATATTTTTAAAAAAGTATGTGTATACCTGTGCGTATTATCTTTCTCTAATTATTTGATAACTTTGAGAAGATTGATGAAGAGAATTAATATAAAACACCAGTTGCACATTTAGAAGCTCAGGTCTCTCCTTCATAGCAGAGGGAGGCAACTTGTCACAATTTCTTTGGTCCCCCAACTAACATACCATGAAGCATTGTAGATATTTGGAAATCTTTATATTCATAATAGATTCTTTTGGTGGCAAGTTATATAAATCCAGTTCAGACTGGCAAAAATGAAATTTATTGACTTATGCCCTGGGAAGTCAGTTGTGAGAGATTGAGGAGAGATAGAACCGTCTCTTTCCTGTTATTTGCTCTGCATATTTCTACTTGAGTTTAGTTTGAAGATGAGTGTTTTCCATGTGGTAGAAAACAGGGCTTTCCATTTTCCTGGACTCAAGAAATCCCAGTCAAAATTTCTTGTGGAGGGAAACAGTGTTTCCCCACAGCCCTGATGGATAAATCCTAGGAAGGAGTTGGGTTGGCTTTAGTCATATGCCCATTAATGAACTAGTCTCTAAGGACAAAGAAATAAGATATTGTAATTATCCAAATAAGGAGCACAGTCCTACTTCTATGACTGGAGTGGTTGCAAGGGTTCAGCCCTACCAAAACCACAGAGGATGGGTTTCCCACGGGAAAGGGAGTGTCTGGGTGCTAGGTAGACAAAAGCATCAGGTGTTCACTGAAATGATTTGAAGAGTGATGGGAGATATGAAATAATGCTCAGCTGGGAGGGTTTTGAAGGAAGGATGAGGGCTTAATAATAATGTAACCATGATTTTTCTGGACAGGTATAGACTTGGCATGCTCAGGACAGTGACAGCTTCAGAATTTCTATACTTTTTCTCGGAAGAGGTTCAGCAACCTGTGTTTGAGGGTGCAGAAGGTTCCCTTCAATAGGTCACTCCTTGAGATATCCCAAATCCAACCCCTAGGCAATGAGGCTGCTCAAACCAAGTGGCATTATGGAGTCCAGAAGGCCTTCTTACCTCTCTCCACCTATTGCCTGGGGGTCTTGCTCTCCCAGGAATACTGAAGAGCTGTTAAAGAATGTGTTTGTCACTCACCGTCTCTGCTCATCCTCCATGTGCATCTGTGTGTCAGATACTCAGTCAGACATGACCTCAATCTTCCTGGCTAAGAGAATACAACTCAGTTCTCCGCCTGCTTGGGGATGATTGAAGTTCTACCACTTACACAGAGGGACTCCTCTGGCTTCGGAATTATCTCCTTCTAAAAATGCAAATTTCCCAGGAAAGGAATGTTATTAGCTTACTTATTTACAGTTAGTAAAAGGAAGTCTCTTTTGTAAGAACAGCTTTTGACAAAAAATGCTGAGCTTCCTCCTAGAGTCTATTAACCAGTCATTGGAATCCTGGAAGGTGGTTACATCTCATTTATATTTGAGATATCCACCTGGCAAGAACCTTCCCCACAGCATTTTCTCACCACTTGTTTTTATATGAATAAACTTTAAGTTACCTTCAAATTCCAGTAAAACTGTTAAATACAGTGAAATGGTAATATTTAGGGTGGGAGGGAGAATCAAGGTGTAGGCATTGTGTCCAACATTTGGGTAAATGTAGGATCCAAATAAAGGAATTGATGCAAGATAATGGAAACCCCGAGTTCAGAAAATTCTGGATATTGGATCAGGGTGAAACTGGGCACATTTTAAGGGTCTAAATTTGTAGAAATCCTGATCAACCTTCCTGTAAGATGAGGGATGAGAGAGAGATTGGAGCTGACCTTAGCAGACATTTAGCAGCATGTGATGTAGATGACACCTGGATTATATCCATCTTGTGAAAGGCTTATTTTTTTTTCCCTTATTGCCTGTGAATCAGGATACATCTCTCAAATACCTTTCAACTTTTCTGAGTGGCATTGTGATGCAGTGGTTAACAGCCCAGCATATGGCTCTAGACTGCTGAGGTGTATGTTCTAGTGCTGCCATGTATGGCTGAGGGATCTTGGGCATTGGCTTACCCTCTCCGTGCCTCACTTTTCCCAGACCAGACTTTTCCAGAAGTGGAAATAATGGTAGTTCCTGACTCATGCAGTTGATTTTGAGAATTAAATGAGTTAGGATGTGGTAGAAGGTTTGAGACAGAGCTTGGTAGATGGAAAGCATTGTATGTTTAGCTACTTTTACTATTTTGCCATGGTAGTTGGGGAAAGGACAATATTATTAGAAGCAGATCCTGAGAATTCTATATTCTTGTGTAACAAATGTAAGAATAGGGGAAGGAGGAATGAGGAGGAGGTATTGCATCTCTGCTGTAGGATCAGTCCCTTGCAGGTAAAATTATCCTCGGTTGTTTATTATTGATAAGCAGGATCATGTAAGGAGAAGCAATGAGGAATCATGCAGAATGTGTTTCTTGTTCCTCCTCTATCCACTCTCCTCCACAACATAATGAATTCTGTTTACAAAGCACATCAGGACTCTTAGGAATTGGTTATTTCAAACCATATGATACCCCTATCCTCTGCTATGCACGTGGATCTAATGGACAAAACAAAGAAATAACAGTACATTTCTTCACAGAGACGAAAAAATTCCATGATTTTGGAGTTTTTGTACCTTAAGATGGATGGTGACAGATCTGGTTTGTCCCAGAGACAGACATTATCTCATATATGTGAAGTCTGAACAATTACTGGAATCCTGAGTCTACTACTCTGCACCAATTACTTGGAACCAGGGCAAAAATTCTAGTCCCCAAATAGGATAATTTTTACTTTTATTTCTAAAAGGAGAGGCTTCAGTGAACTATTATAAAATCTGGCTATTTGCCCATAAGAATGTGTTTTAAATTTCAAAATCCCCCAGTTCCTAGATACAGCCAAGACTCTACTGTATAAGCTCCCATTCAACCAGGATATTATCCAGATACAAATATATGATTTTTAGATAAGCTCAGTTTTTTTTTCCTATGGGGGACAGAAATATTTACTTATTTTTTACTTAGCCATAGTTTCTCCAACCTTCAAAACTTTCATATAATTTGTGTCACAGGACCTCTCTGCATTGGCCTAACCCAGGTTTTCCTTAAATTGGTACAGTGTCATGAGGAAATGTGGTTATGATCAAAGTCAGATGGCCTAAGAAGTAATTGTGGCCAGTGACCATGAGCAGGTGATTTATCCTCTGCTCCAGTGCCCATGTCTGTAAAATAAAGGTAGGAATGGTATCTATTTAATCAGGTTGTGGGGATATTAAGCAAGTTGATACATATTAAGTATTTAATTTCGTGCTTTGCACACAATAAGAACTTCAGGTATTAGCTAGTATCTTGTCCCACATATGGTACCCACAAGCTCTATTTCCCAAGGCACAAGGAATTGACCATCCCATGGGGTAGAAAAATTGACTTTTTTTTTCTGCTCTGTGGTTGTCCTCAATAGCCAGAGTGTAAGTTGGAAGAAGAGGAAGCATGTCTCCTTAATGCTGAAGGAACAGTCTCCTATACTCTTCTGGGAGTGTCTTATTCATTCAAAAGTATTTATTGAGCGCCTACTGTGACACTGACAGTTCTGAGTATATATCAGTAAACAAGAGAGATACATCTTGCTCTTTTGGACCTGTATTGTCCAGTCCCACAAACTCCAATGTTCTATATTTTTCATTCATTGTCTCTTCTTCAGGATATGTTCAGGATAATGGTCCCAAATAACCACAGAGTCTGAAGTGTCCTAGGAATCACCAGAGAAAATGCCATGATGGTCACTATCAATCTGATGATCTGCATATTTTGTTGCATTCCAGTACTTTTTTTTTTTTTTTGAAACTAGACAGTCCCTGGAACACAACCAGAGTTTCCATAGATATTTAATTACACTGAATGGCCCGTTCCTAGACCACAGCGAAAAAGCAGACCTTTTCTCAATGTGGTTTATCTGTATGTTGTTGCTGGTTTTCATTTGTTTTATATTTTCCTTGTGTCTCCTGGTCTCTCACCAATTATTACATTTTTGCATATACTTCCTTGGGGAGGACACTTCCAAAGCCTGTGCATATCCTGCTGATGGTATTGCCTGACCATCTGTTAGCCTGAAGGAAGGAGGGCCAGGTGAAGGTGAAGAAAGGAGAGATCTGCTCCCTGTGACCTGTCCAGGCTCTCTTCTGGGGCCTGTCTTGGGGGATGTTCTCTGATACTCAAAGGAAAATGGCCAGGGAATGAGATTCCTTAATTCTCTACAGTGTCTCTTTTAATTTCTGTGAAATGCCCCATACACAGATACACACACAAAGTGAGCTTCCCCGTCTGCCCTACAGCATCTATACCCTCAAAGGGAAATGAAAATCCTCTTGAGTTCTTGCTAAGAAAGATACTCTAAGCGTAGAGGAGACAGAACAGAGAAAAAGGGCAACAGAACAGGAAAGAGTATGGGAAAACTCCAGTATGGAAAGAGACACTAATGGTAGGGAAAGACATTTTATTTTCAAGCTTTTAAGAGAATATTACAAACAACAGAGAGTTTTAAAAAACCCTAAAAACTAGTTTAAAAAAGTACTTGACAGTGTCCCTTTAATACCCAAGAATGACACGGCCACTGTGCAATGACAACAAGAAACTGTAAGTGACCACTCGGTGGCCTTCCCTGGCAAGGTTCCAGGAACAAGTAGGTGGGCTCCAAAGACAGTGCTCCCTGCCAGGGCCCCTGGCCCTCCCTGTCTGCACAGGGAGGACCAGGAGCACATAGCACTAAGCAGTGACCAAATTGCTTCTTTGAAGGGTCCCAAGCAGTGAGGAATACTTAGACTGGTCTCCGCTCCTTGGGGCTCACTGGCTAACTTCCACCAACACTGCAGCAGTCCTCCTGGAAGACCCAGGGATTGGCAGCGGAGGGGCCCTGTGTGGAGGTCTGGGTATGTGTCTGAGCCAAGGTTGAAGGGGCATGGCATTGAATTGTCTTGGCCATGGGTGGGTCTGAGTAGTTGGGAAAGTTACTCCGGGACTGACAATTCTGAAGGCTGAGGCCACAGAAGCAGTACTGTGCTTCAGATAAACAGCCACCGGAAAGCCATACTTTTCTCCAGGGATGCGTGTGTGTATGTGTGTGTGTCCTGTAAACATCCTTTGAGCCAAATCACTGTCAAATAAAGAAACAAGGGCACAGAAAGACATCCATCTCCAAACCCATGGCTTCTTTGAGCCCACCTGAACCTGGGAGTTCTAGCTGGGGAGGTTCTGATGGGAGGAAACACACCCCTCCTCTGGTTGGTTGCTTACACCAGCACCTCCTTCCTGTCATCAACCACCCCATGATCCCTAAATCCATTTGAGTCACCGAATTCTGCCTCTCAGTTGAGCCCAGAGCCCCAGGAGTCCCACAGCCTGTAAGTCTTCCCTACCAGCCCAAGTTTGTCCAACCCTCCCTTGACTGCCCAGGAACACCACCCAGGGAGAAAGAAAAACAGATGCAAGTTTGCAAGGAGCAGGCTCCAAATGTTGTTTCCCTTGGTTGCTTCTTATTCTCTCTGCTGCCCATGCACCCACAGGGACCACCACCTGTTGTACTGGCTTTGCCCTCCAGGAGCCTCTTCTCCTGGGAGTCTTGCTTACATGGGTGCACCTGGGCCGTTGTTTTGCTAGGTTCAGTTCCATCTGTCTGGCCCATTGTTGCTGAGTTTGAACTGGTTTTTGTCACTGTAGAATGGTATTGACTGACTGGAAACCATCAATGGCTCCAGATGCCAGCCTCCAGCTCCACCCTGCCCCAGCTCCTTTTGAGGCCCACCACTGTGTGCTTGCTGTCTGCTCTGGCTCAGGTGCTGCCTTGCCTCCCCATACCTGCTCCCTGGCCACTCCTGGGCCAGCCTCTCTGCACACTTTCCGCCTTTCTGCACGTCTTTCCTGTCACACCGTGGTGACTCTCATGACAAGTTCTCGGCTGCTGCCCTGGGGACTCCGCTGTTCTTGAGCTCTCAAGTGACTCAGGATGTGCAGGATGGTGTAAGCACAGTGGTGATGGGACAGAGGATCTGAGGAGTGGCTGGCAGCCCGAGTGGGGCCTTCCTCGGGGACAGGGGTACCAGCTGCCTCCTCTTCTGAGGAAGGGATATTGGCCTGGGTGGATGAGGAGGTCCGAAGGTTTGTCCTGCCTCCTGACTTCTGTTCTTCCAGGTCTTTTGCCTTGTCATAGTTCAGCACTTTCCACTGCTGGTTGACAGCCTGCCACCTTTTAAAGATGCGGTACACAGAAGGTCCCTCGTGGATGATGAGACCTGAGGTAGTGGGGACAGGAAAAAAACAAAGGCTAAGCCCAAGAAGACAAGTCACTGCAAGGAGAAAGTGATGGTCTCCCTTTGTTTACAAATAGACAATTATTGGTTTCATTTGTGCTCTTCAAATCTACCAGCTCTGAGTCATTTGATATCTATCCCTCTATCCCTGGGCTCAGCAAGTCTTCAGTGTAGAGAAAGTGGTGGGGCCTCCTATGCCTTGCCTATAAAATACTGGGCACCTACATGCAGTGCTTTTGCCTACCAAGTCTCTACTCCATTCACCCCCGTCTTGACCTGACACAATCCAAATCATTCTATTGAGGTGTAATATAAATATTTTTTTCTTCTCTGTATTACATATCCATGACACCCAGTATTTAACAGATATTGAATGAATTGTCTGCTAAAAACAACATAAAAGAAACCCTGTGGTCATTTCACACCTGCCAAATGATGTCTAAAATTCTACTGGCTAGGTCTTTGTACAGATAACCCAATGCTATTGAAATACAAACATCCCTGGGAAAGAGTGCAATTATACTGGCTGAGACAGAGGTAGAGTAGAAGGAAACCAAACCAGGCAACAAGGCAACTGACTATTAGTTGTGTCCCCACTGTGTGCCAGGCATGTTATACAGCAGTGATGGAGACAGGCAGAGTGTTGTCCCCAGAGTGCCTAATTCAAGTGGACAGACACAACAGATGCATGGACAAGATAACTAGATCATTGCAGGCACTGCCAAAGGCTGTAAAGAAAAAAAGTAGAGTGAAATGGCCACTGCCTACTGGCATTGAGGGTCTTGTTTTGCAGGGGTGGTGGGAAAGGCCTCTGGAGGAGGCAGTGTTTAAGTTGAGACTTAAATGATGAGAAAGAAGGAGGCACCCATGCAAAGACCAGTAGCACATTAATGATTGATAGGAAATACAAGTGCAAAAGCTGGGAGTTGGGAAAGGAATGAGACTGGATCAAAATGAAGGCCAGCACGCCCACTCCAGGGAATGGTGGGGAAGTGCAGGGAGTTAAAGTAGACAGGGTTCAATCTATTACCAGGCCACATAGTCCACGACAAGGAATTTGTATTTTATACTGACAGTAGTGGGAATCCATTGAAGGGTTTTATCAGAGGGAATGATGATGCAATCTGATTTATCTTGCAGGAAGTTCTGAGCTTCTCTAGCTCCGATGGGCACCAGAGTGAGGGGAAGCTGGGCACAGTGGAGCATACCCATATCTGGGAGGCAGAGTCAGGTGAATCACAAATTTGAGACGAACCTCTACAGAAATTTTTTAACAAGTTTATAAAGAGGTTGGGCATGTATCTCTGTGAGAAGGTCCTATGTTCGATCCCTATGACTGGAAAAAAAAAAGAAAAGAAAAAGGATAAGGGGAAAACTAAGTAGGAAGTGATGCGATAATCGACTTTGGAAACAGCAGTGTCATAGACTGGGGTTGTACCAGAGGAGAAAGCGAGACATTGTGGCAGCAGCATGAATGCTGGAGGTATAGCTGATAGTTTGCTAATAGGTGAGGTGTGAGCAAAGAGAAAACTGGGAAACTCTATGGCTTTTGGGTTGAGCAACTTAATAAGTAGGGGTGCTGAGGCAGGAAGGCATGGAGTGGCAAGGCTGTTGGGGGAGTAAGCATGATCAAATTCCAGGACATTCACAAATAATTCTCAAGACCTTGTATGTAGACTCCTCAAGAGAACCTATGAGGTGTAAATGGGATGAAAGGACACAGGTGCCATGAAGAGTTCACCACTCTGGCTTTACTCAGAGTAGCTCACCCTGTGCCTCCCAAGGTATACTTTTGTTTTATTTTGATTTTTATTTTCTTTTCTCTTTTGTTTGGCCCAAGTTCACTCCACAGAGCCAGTTTCTCCCTTACCCTTCACTCAAACTTTGTCACCATTTTTGCTTGTCTTGTTCAATTCTTTGAGAGAGAAAGAACCTATTTAGCGATTTATTTGTAGAAGGAGGCTACCCAGTAACAGTGCCATTTGTTGAGATAAGGATGGCACTAGGGTGGGTGGTGTGGTGCCAGTGACTGTATAAGTTTGCTATGGCTGCTGTAACAAATGACTACACATTTAGTGACCTAAAATAACACCAATGTATTCTCTTACAGTTCTGGAGATCAGTCACTGGGCTAAAGTGAAGGGATCATCAGGGGTGGTTATTCTTGGAACCTTTGAGGTAAAATTTGTTTCCTGGCCTTTTTCAACTTCTAAAAGTTGCCTATATTTGCTTCTTTTTCTTGTACCATTCCAATCTCCTTTTTCTGTTGTTGTATCCCCTAATACTCCTCTTGCCATCAGATCTGCCCCCACTTCCCTCTAATAAGAACACTTAGGGATAGCTCTTTCCTCACAAATAGGATTGTGTGATGTTATAAAGCAGCGTGACAGAGTTGGTCCACTCTTGACTTTCACCACCCTTTGTCATATAAGGATGTAGCAAGAAATCCCCCATCTGATGATCCTCAACTTCCTGAGCTCAGGAACTGTGGAGTCTTTCCAGACTCCAGAACTGATATAAATCTGTTTTAAATGAATTACCTAGTCTTGCTTATTGTGTTGTAATAGCATAAAACAAACAGAGACTGGTAGAATTTGAAGTTAGGGAATACCTGAATTGCCTTGGGGATAGAAGCTGGCCAGTGACAGAGCTCTGGGCTTCTGAGGTTTAGAGGTTTGGTGGATGGAGAGCCAACAAAGGAGGCAGTGAAGAAGCACTCCATGCAGCAGAGACAGAACCAGCAAATGGGGAAATGCAGAAGTCTGGAGAAGTATGTGTCAAGAGAGTGTAGACAGTGTGATAAATGGGAAAACCAATAGTTCTTATCATAGTGCATTGTTGTCTTCCATGAAGTCACTAGCTAAGTGGAGGGGATGAGGGGGGGATCTGTTGACATTTGTGGAGAAGGGAGAAATAATTATTTTTGAAAGTAAGATTGTATTCATAGAATGTAGTGGAATTATCTGATTTTGTTGAGTGCCCTTCTGAGTTTTGTGGCCATAAAACTGAATAGTCCAGTTGTTGGTTGTGTAGTTTCTTTCTACACTTTCCACTGCTTGCTCAAGTGCATGTGTGGAATAAGAAGAAGGTTGTATGTAACAAGTTTAAACTCTTTTTCTGGGCCAGCAGACAAGTATGTCAGTTTGCAAGGGAGTGGTTATCACATTGGACCATGGAATCTGTGTGAGGGAGAAAGGAACTGAGGACACAAAATGTATAAGGAAAAGTAGACAAGGTAGGTTCTCTCTTAGTCTCCTCTACCTTTTGGATGACAGAGTGATGGACCAAAGCCAGGAGGTCTTCCTGAGGCTGGAGTCAATGAACTATAAAGATTAGGGGATTATGGACAGAGGGTAGGATGTTTAAATCCAGATTTTGGAAGTGGTATAGTTACTGACTTACAGGGTATCCATTTGATTATGGGTTAAAGTGGGCTGGAGGAAAAGATCTTTGGAGTAATAGGGAGGCCAACAAGTTGGTAGATTATCTGTATCAGCCATCCCCCATGCTATCAGACAAAACGTTCCCTTTTTATAACAAGCATATTTTAATATCCCTTTTCCTATCCTGAAATGAAATTCAGAAGACATTATAAACTACTGTTTCTTTTTTAAAAAAACAATTAACAGAATGCCTATAAAAATATAAAGTAAACAAAGAGGAAGTCCTTGGTAATGAAACAATATGAATTTCAATATAAAGGCCAGAGCACAATTACATTAGAAAATAAGCCAACAAACCCCATACATTTTCCAAACTGCCACCAAGGAAATAGAACCACCAATCTATACAGATGCTGAGGACAAGAATGTGGGGAGGGAGTGTATGGGCCATCTGCATCAAGGAACGTGAAGACTGAGTGGGTGGTTAGGGGCCAAGGTGTCAAAAGGAGAGATGAGGTAAAGAGAACATGCACTTCAAAGGGCTGGGGCTCCCAAAGGATAGAGAGGAGAGGTAAGTGGAAGTGGTGGGGGAAGACACACATGGTCACTTCTGGGCCCCAAAATACAATGCGTGGCAGAAAAAAACAGCTACTACCAGAGACAGCCATGAGCGAAACAGTGTTGTCAAAGATAGTTGTGTTTCCATCAAAGGAAGGTGAAAGAAATGCCCAGAGAAGTTGCTCATGTTACAGAGGGCAGGAGGGAAAGGCTGGAAAGACAGGCTGAACAAATAAGAAAAGGATAATGGTCCTGGTAGTAAGGGTGGTTGGGAGGCTGGGTCCTCTGGTGGGTGAGATGACTGGGGACATGAGGCAGGATGGGACTTCTCCTGCAGAGAGGGACAACCCAGGAAGGGAGCTGGCTCATAGGAACAAATGGCAATGAATCACCTTCCCAGGGCAAAGCAGAGGGACTGGATGGGAAGAGCTCAAGGCTTTCTGTGCTTCAGCACACAGATCCTCTAGTGACAAGAGCAGCCACCCACAGCTACCTTTCCTCCAGTATTCTAGCACTTTCCCCAACAAGCCTTCAAGGAGTCATTGAGAAGGAGACAGAGTCTTTGTGGTTTCTAGCTCTTTTTTTGTGTGTGTGTTTCTAGCTTTTTTTTTTTTTTTTGATCAAATGAAAGGGAAATGTTATTTTTCTGGGGAATAAAACGAAAAGGTTTTAGAGGGTTCATAAATCTGAAGACCACCCACCAAAGATCTGGTCTGAGATTCTTTGCAGGGAGACTTCCTCTCGGTCCCATGCTCTCACCTTCTCTCGATGTGCCAATCCCAATTTTCTCTGTCAACCTCTTTCTTGTACTTGCGTAGTCTTCACACTGAAGTTGCTCACTTATCCCATTAGCCCACAAGCCTTGTTTTAATGCCACTCACTGTCTTGCCGACTATAGGCCGTTGGAGAGCGGGGCCAGGTGAGGCGGTGTCTCTGGCAGCCATCACGGCACAGGGAGCCTAATGAAGCCTTGCTTGGGGAGGAGGGCCTTGGAACCTGAGCAGAGAGCAACAGGCTCTTTTGAAGTCCCAAACTCACTGT